TCCTAATTTATCCCTCCCCCCCAAAGATTCTGTTTCTTATCTTGAGCACAGACTTGACTTTTGTATGAGTTTGTTAAATGATAGCTTTCATTGTTATTTTCACAACAGTATCATAAAAGTTACTACTTTTCAAGTTTCAGCATTATCATATTTTTACCTTGTTAAGCAAACATTGGAAATACTTGCCTTTTACCCTTTATTTAATAACTCAGTCACAGTTATCACATTGGTTTTCCAGCAAAATCTAGGACTACCTTCCTGTAGAACCATCTGCTAGTGTATAACTTTATATACAAAGTATATGGTTTAAAGTTGTTGCATGGGGTCTGTTTACTTTTGTAAGAGGGGGGCACCTGTGTGAGACCCAGAGGTCCAGCTTTCTCCCTTGCTGGTGCCTCAGAGTGTTTATGACTCAGTGGCTGGTTGCATGTTGTCATTTCCCACTTCATTCAGCTCCAGTCGTTCTTCCTCCTTTCTTTTTCATTGGTTTATTCTTTATTCTGTTGTCTTTATTTTTTAGTTTTTCTTAATTCCAGCCAATTTATAATCTAGGTATGGCCTTTCTTTCATGCCAGTATTCAAAACCAAGAACTTAATAAAATGCTACATTACCTGGTGATAATACTAACATGGCTCCAAGCCAATCACTACTGAATTGTGGTAGTTCAGCATTTTTATAACTTTACTTTAAATGTTTTAATGTATTAATGTTATTACTCCTTGATAATTTTTCTCTAATTTGGTTTCTTAGTATCTATGGTTCCTTACTTAGTGTATGTGTATTAGTATTTGCTAGATGAATTGGGTAGAAGCTATACAATTATTTACTCATGCCTTCCGTTGAAGTTGAACTTGATTTTATTACTCTTTTAAATTGTTTCTGTTAGATGTCAAGGCAGCAGGAGCAGCCAGGGCAAGGAATTGCACCAGACACAGTTAATGGGCAAAGGAGGGATTCCAGATCTGCGTTTCGTATTCCTGAGTTCAAATGGTCTCCGATGCATCAGCGTTTGCTCACTGATCTCTTATTTTCAATAGAAACAGATATACAGATGTGGAGAAGGTTTGTCCATATATTTATTATGGTAGCTCTGTATAGATTTTAGTCTTTGTTTTCAAAGAAATTTATATATTTAACATTTTGTAAGTAATTTCAGTCATTGGATTGAAAAATAGAGTATAAATTATTTCTATCATAGGGTTTTATTGAATAATTCTTTGTTATAAAAATGAGCTACTGTATTTGGATTGCAAGAAGTTGAAAATCAATTATTTTTCTTCTAAGAAATTTGCTGAAAGTCTTCTGTAGCATATTTTATAGCATATAATATGCCCAAATGTAGGTTTACCAAATGGGTTTATTCCTAGAAATACTAAACAAAATTGGGATTTACTTAAAACATCTAATTTTCCAATGTATTTTTGGTAGAAAAAGTCTGTTTTTCAGATTATCCTTCATTGTATGATTTGTGATTAAAAAAAAACCTAATTTGTTTATTGTTGTTTATATACTACTCTTATTTTGCTTAAAAATGCTTTATGACATTATCTAAGAAAGTGTTACTAAAAAATTCATTTTTAATAGTACCTTTAGCACTATTTACCTCTTAATTTTTGCTACATGACTTCTTAATTTTGTTCCTACATAAGGATAATTTAGTTCAACTTTTATATCAAGTGTAAGTTGAATCCTATTAATGGTTCAACACTGAGAAAGGGTGTGAATAGTAACTACTGATATGAATGGTCTACATCTTCTGAGGAAGTATACACCCCCCAAAATGCCTGCTGCATCATTATCTTTCCTCAGCTTTCAAGATGAAGCAAAAGCATCTTATCCTCCCTCCCCTGAAGTAGGCAAAGTGTGATTTCCTTTCTTTAGCTTTATCAGTAAACATCATTTATCTTTGGACAGCCATTCAACAAAGACAGTTATGGACTTCGTGAATAGCAGTGATAATGTCATCTTTGTACACAACACAATTCATCTCATCTCTCAAGTGATGGACAATATGGTCATGGCTTGTGGGGGTATACTGCCATTGCTTTCAGCTGCTACATCGGCTACAGTAAGGACTTTACTATATAAAATTGGTGTGAAAACATGACTTACGCATTTTTTATTGATTAAAACTTGAATGTGGTAGTTACTATGAATCATAGGTTCTATAATTCAAAAGCAACAGAATCTTTTACAATTACCTGAAAGGACCTTAGAATCTGTTCCAGGAATCAAAGGACTAAAAAGAATGTTGAATTCTTTGGGATGAGTCAGCTAGTGAGAAATATGATTGACAGTATTTCACCTGTACGCACGCCTCTTTTTTTAGATGAAATGATAATGAAATCACTCTACTGAACTAGATTTCTGAAAGCCTGGCTTTTTATAAAATTTAGAAATTTGGGGAATGTGTCTCATAAAATTGGATTTTTGTCAGAATATAGATGTAAATGTCAAACTTTATTCCTTACAGCATGAGCTGGAGAATATTGAACCTACTCAAGGCCTTTCAGTAGAAGCCTCTGTGACATTTTTGCAGAGACTAATCAGTCTTGTGGATGTGCTTATATTTGCAAGTTCTCTTGGCTTTACTGAAATTGAAGCTGAAAAAAATATGTCATCTGGAGGAGTTTTGCGGCAGTGTCTCCGACTGGGTGAGCTGTTAAAATCCATTACTTAGGAATTAAAGTTTTTTCAGTAATCCAGACATATTAAATTGAATATTTTCTTTCTCCTGTTGGTGGGAAAATGTGTGCTAGGCAATTTGTCTTTTGCTACTTTTTAACCTCCAAAGGATGGAGAGCTTTTTCTGTACTATGCTATACTAGTGGTTGTGAAGTTGCATAGAGGAGAAAGGACATTGTTTGAAAATTCTACTAAGTTGATTCTGGTTGGCATTACCTCCCCTGCCCCCTGCCCCATCTATTTTTTGCTTTAAAGTAATGCTTCCCAAATTTTAAGATGATTCATACACATAAATGACCAGAGTGTCTTGTTAAAATGCTGATTAGATTATATGAGTCTGGGATGAGGCCTAAGATCGTCTCTCTCGCATGTCCCAGGTAACGTTGATGCTGCTTCTCTTACAAACACACTTGAGTAGCAAGGTTCTAAACTAGCATCATTCAAGATCAGCCTTTATTCACACATGTTATGATAATTTGTTGAAGCAGTTAATAAAATTATTAAATCTCTGTTCTTCTCCTGGAAGCAGTTCGTCCGTAGGTAAAAGTTGAAATAAATGAAATGAATTTTTAGTAGTATCTGAACTTTCTTCAGTGAAGCAAAATAATTTTTCTCTCTGCAGCAAATTTCCTTTAACTAATTGTAAATACTGAGACTTTGTTAATGATTTGCTTACTAAATTGAGAGAAGTACGTGTAGGGAGGGGGACCAAGAAATGGAAGCAAAATCTTTAGGTACTTTGGCCATAGGAAGACAGATCAGAAATAAGGCACCTATGAAAATATAATATCAGCAGTTGAAAATCTAATTAGTTAATGAAATATTTTCCCATATTTAGCAAGAATATCTGTTATATAAACAGATATGCTTGTACTTAGATTCTTTTGGTGCAATGATTATTTTCACTGAAAATGCTATTCAGAGTACTTAGGATACTCTAAAGAGCTTGGCATACTATTTTTAGAAACTTGTTTTAAAATTCTCACTGAGAGATTCAAATGGTGTGCACAACCAAACGAAAGCTGTTATTTATTGACTACAGTCATTTGTCATTATTGCTGATTTTCACAGTGAGCCTGCAACCATTTTCTTTCATTCAATTATTTTATTCAGTTGTATATTCTTCCTTTTATTCATGAGGGAATTTGAGATCAGAGAAGTTAGGAAACTTAGTGAAAATTCAAAAGCTATTAATCTGTCAAGTTGGAATTTAAATATAGTTTAACTAGTGTTCCCTACACTTTCTATTATAGAATACAGCCTTAAACTTTATATCAGTAATATACTTAAAATGTTTAGAATCCATTGCTTTTATATTTAGAATCCATTGCTTTTATGTATGCCATTTGTAAACCTTTCCGCTTTCCTACAAAGAGTACATTTTTAGAATCCAAATGTTTTGATCCTGAGGCTGAGGGTGAGAAGGTAGGATGGCAGCAGTAAGAGTAAGTTGTACTACTGAGAGTGATTGATATTTGGCCATCTGCTGTGGTTTTTGAGCTTGTAATGTGGATGCAAACCTGATTTTATACAACCTGTCACAAAAGTAGTAGAAAAATTATTTTCCTGGGCCTGATTCCAAATTTGACAGAGTTGTGTTCCATATTCTCTCTCCCTCCCCTTCTTTACTATGTTCCTTCCTTCCTTTTCTCCAGCTTCTGTTACTCTTTTGGCACCTGTCTGAACACTTTCCCTTTTCAATTCTGTGCCTGCTAAGCATATGATAGTCTGATGGTACTTAGAGTTCCCACTTAAGTTTGCTACTTTGTTCCTAATTTGCTCTCCCATTCTAGTTGAGTTCAGATACCTTCAGTGTTACCAATTTGTTTGGGAATTGAGATGATTGCATGATAGAAAGCAATTCATGATCAATTATGCATTACCTGTTTTGTCATTTAAAACTCAACAACTTGTAAGTAACCTGAGTTAACTGCCTGATTAGTGAGCTGTTTAGAGAGGTAATTGTGGACTGTATATTAATCACAGTCTCTTTTCTGTTGCCTATTTTTCAAATAGTTTTAATGAAAGCCAGTAAGAGGTAGACCCTATAAATAGTCCTTTTAATGCTATACCCCTATCATTCTCTGTTAGTAATGATAAACATTATAAGAAAAACTTGCAAGTTTCTAGTTTAACTATTTTACTTTAATGAAGGTAACAGACGGTTATTATCCTGGACTAGTTGATGGCAGTGTGATTTACTTTCTTTATTCTTACACCTTTTTTTCAATTCTCTTTTCCCCCTATCTTTTCCTCCTTAAAAGATCATTTCATGTAGCTTAGATGAGATCTGAGAAACAGTAGAGTGTTTATTAAGATTATTGAACTTGTTTTCTGTTAGCAGTGGACCCTAATAGGGTAGCTAACAAAGTCGC